TTAACTTAACAAATTCTAAAACATCATTTCCTTTTTCGCTATTTCCCAAACCTCGACAGTTCAAAGAAATTATATTGAAACTAGCCATTGAATATTAACTTTACCTCGGTACTATGAAAATCAAATCCTGTGGAGTTTTTCTTTTGTAACATCAAACAAATAACACTGACAGCACTAAGCACTAGTCCACCGAAACAGCTTACACTGCAACACCTATAACAATTACAGCGATGTCTAGCACAAACGAAACTACAAAACAAAAACACATATGTCTCTGATAGCGAGACAAGACGCAATACTAAGAAAGCCACAGGTGACCACATATTTGCTGTGGATCCCCGAAACCCCACCAATCCAACTAAAGGCCCGGTCACACAGCCTTTCGCGTCTGTATCGCGGGTAAAATTTCGCGATTTTTTTTTTGCCCGCAGTTGCCCGTGGTGGAAAATGTGCAAAATTGGCTTACCCGCGGTTTACCCGTGGTATGCCCGCGGAACAGACGCCGGCGACTGTTCCGCGTCCTTATCGCGGGTGAAGCGCGGCGGTACCGCGGCCTAACACGCTTACACGCGGTACACACGCTAATGCACGTGATAACAACGCGGTACAGACGCGGAACAAACGTGCTATGACCGTGCTCCACCCGCGATTACCCGCTAAAATTTCGCGTCCAATTCCGCGTGTAACCACGTCTTAACCGCGGCCGTAGCACGTCCTAGCACGTTCGTTCCGCGTCTGTACCGCGTCTTTACCGCGTGTGTACCACGTGTACCACGTGTACCGCCCGCGATTACCCGCGGTCTAAATTTTTGGGCAGCCCAAAACTTTTTCGCGCGGCCAACCGCGTGTAACGACGGGTAAAGTACGGCTGTATCGCGTCTTTATCGCGACCTCAAAGCGTCCAACAGCGTCTGCTTCACGGGCAGAAATTTTTGGCCGTGATTCGGCCGCGATACGCCCGTGGAGGGCTGTGTGACCGGGCCTTAAGAGGGAAAATATATCAAACGTTTCCCCCTTGAAAAGAAGGCACACCGGCTTAAAATAATCACACACAATCCTGCTTATTGTATGATAACTTTTGTTATGTCCGGGAAATGTATACCCAAATGTATTCCCAAATTCTCATTCGTCTTCTGCCCTTGTTTTACAATCCTGCAAGGAGTATAAAGTTGTGTAATTTTTTAACAAGACTTAACACAACCCCTGTGTAAGCAGTGAACCATCCAATGTTTGTGTAAGGTCGTTACACAACGAATTGGCAGTGTACGCGGAGTGCCCCATGGATCTGTATTTGGCTTATTGTTGTTTGTCACGGTTTGCACTTCATATCAACGACTTATTTTTTTTGTATACCAAGTAACAAAACGCAAGCTACCCGATCCCGAACCTTTTTTGTTTGTTATGAATTACTTGGTCCCTTTCTGTCCGATGCGGCAAAGCCTTTCTCTTCACCTTGCAAATACTGAAATAGTTTTTGCACACAATACAATATAGCATTGACCTACTACAAAAATAGAGAGATGTACACAGTGTGAGTCAAAAAAAAGTTTACACCTAGAAAATTGCTAATTATTTAAAAATCATCTATGAACAGTGCCTCCTGTGCATCCAAGCGTGAACACATACCACACAAAAATGATACCAAATGATTTGGGATAAAACACTCTTTCATAAGATGTATAATAATTTACTGTTCATAGATGATTTTTCAAATAATTAGCAATTTTCAAGATGTAAACTTTTTTTAGGTCCATGATTATATAGTCACCCGGCCGATCCCTTTTTAGTCTATTTATAAAATAATGATTTTTCCTAATAAGTATGGGTATGATAATAGAGATTTGAATTTTATTTATTTATTTCAGAGAGAAATGACTAACAGAATAAAAATAAATGGACATTTGAAAGTACAAAATATGAAATTTCTTGCGAATTTGCTTAGTTATTATTTGAACAAATAATTTGTGTATTATTGATGTTCTATTGTTTTGCTAAATTGTAAGTAATATTATATTATTGTTTGAATATTGAATAAACACCTCTAAGAGGGAAAGAGAAGGAAAAAATAGTCACTGGGCCACTCTCGTCAGATGCAATAAATTCACAATTTTCCTCTTCAACACTCACGTACGTATTTAGAGAGACCATCTTCGTAATGTAACCAAATCTAATGCAAACATCCTTCTGAAGAACCTCAATACAAATATTTCATTCAACTTTAATGAATAATTGCATTACAATACTCAGAATGCAAAACGCATATACTACGTGTTGTTAGGTCGGGCAATCCATAATGTTTGTGCTACCAGGCAAAAGCCAATGTATGCAGTTCGCATTCTGACCATGATTGAAATGCAATCATTGAAAATAGATTAATGAAAACCAATGATTCGTATTGAGGCACTTCACAAAGACATATGTATTTGAAATGCGAAGGTCACACATTTTACAAAGTTCTAATTTATCCTTTCCTGTATTATTTAGAGGCCTGATATCTAGATTTATTCTTCCCGGAAAATTTGATTATTTTCTCGAAAATCTTGTCAATGAATAGATATATCCGAATTATCATTGCAAAATACTCGAGTCTAAACTGATGTAGTATTATTTTGTATACCCCTTGACATTCCCCTACTCTAATTTTCTCAAATTACATTTGTTCTATAACATCAATATCAAATGTATAACTTGAGTTTTCTGGATTAATATAAAGAAAAAAGATAAATATATCGTCACTCATATTAAACTTGTCTTTTTCAAATTTTACCATGCATATTCACTCGATGTAGCAGGTAAAAATTTGACACTTTCCTTATTTCAGTTTTGAGATAAATTGCTAAACCGCCGGAATTTTTGTGTTGCTCTCTTACCAGGAAGCTGTAATGAATGGAGATCCCGTCCAAGAGGCCCCTTTGAAGTCATCCGTGGCACCGCGCGTCTTTTGTTTCCCCTACCGTAATCCCCTTAATCCCCCTCCAAAACCTTACAGCTCCCTAGTAGCACTCAGTCCTCCCTTTCCACACACAGCCCAGCCCAGCGAGCACGGCGGCTTTTGCTTTGCCGGCCCGTACTTTGGGTGAATAGTGGTGCTAACTTGACAACTTCTAGCCCTAAATCAATAAATGCGCAAACATACAACACAATTTCATTTAGTTTTTTAGGAAGATAAACCTTTGGACTACCTTCCTAGCTATGTACAAATTTCGGAAATTTTCGGAAAATGTCAATAATTAGATGAGAAAATCATGATTATGAAAATCTTTCATTCGCTCTAACTCATGATTTCCTTGGTCGATTTCGCTGGTTAAAATGGCCATGTCTTCAGTAGAGCTATCCGAGAACGGAAGACGCATTTGATGACTAATAGAAAGTTGCATTGGTCATAATGTTGTGAATTCTGCATTTTATATGTTATAGCTAAATACATCTTCCATGAACATGACTTAATTTGTCGGTGCCACGCATGGCTTCAAAGCCCGATGCTTGCATATTTTTGCAAACGAGTGAATAGAGAACTTAGGGAAACAGATGGCGTTGCGTAACATTTCGTACTATTTGGAATGCCAGAGAGGGACTGTGCATTGATATGGACAGCTGTTGATGGAAATGATGGCTGGAGAGGGTTACATTTCTTTTTGTTAAGCCAGGTTAATCTTGAATAATTTTCCCTCAGAAAATTCTTTCGAGACGGTATCTCCATTCATTACAGCTTCCTGCTCTTACTACGTTTTCTGTGGATTGTATTGAATGTAAAATCATCTATTTGCATAAACCTATTGTAAATCATTTCCTGTTCATTGATTTAAAAGCTTTCAACTCGAAACTAATGAAAAGAAAAGAAACCCGATTAACTGTCTAAATGTTTTTTTTTTCTTTCTACAAGCGCTACTCGCGCAGGCTGGGTCATTTATTACGTACGGGACCTATGAAAATATAAAACAGTTCTCAAATGCCGCCAAAATATTTAAATTCATGGATGTTTCTTCCCCGAGTGAGAACAGAAGTAAACTATTGCATCCATATTATATGAAGTCGTACTGTGCACTACAAAGACACAACATCATAGAAAAATCCTTGCAAAGAGAAATAATATGTTTTCAAGCGACATTAAATTATAAATGTTAGTGGAATAAACCAGTGTGTAGATAAAATCTGCACAAGAGGAGTAAATGTTATTTGAACCAAATAGACCGGTGTAATAACATATTTAAATGTATGGATGTTTCTTTCCTGGGAAACTTGTGATGACAGGTCATGCCATTAACCTGACATCAATGAATGAACTACAATACTTGGAATCCAGTCTGCATACATTACTTGTTGATATGCCGGGCAAGCTTTCAGGTTGGCAACAACATCCTTTTGAACAAAATAGTATGCATGGCATTTGAATAGGTTAGTTAACCGGTGTATTGTGCAACCCATTGATCATGAAATAAAATTAATATCCGATAGCTAGAAGCTTATAAAATAAGTGCAACCCATTGATCATGAAATAAAATTAATATCCGATAGCTAGAAGCTTATAAAATAATGTAATCATTAATCATTACGTCACAACGGTGTACCACTGATACAAGTGTAAGACAGGGCAGCCCCCCCCCCCCCCCCCCCCCCCCCCCCCCCCCCCCATCAGAAAAAGGTGAAAGAGAAAGAGGAATAGGAGATCGAAAGGAGAGGAAGAAAAATAGAAATGAAATTGAAAAGCAAAGTAAACTGAAAGGGAAAAAGGAAAGGAAAGGAAAAAAGGACAGAAAAATAAACCGAGATAGAGAATGAGCTGTGTCCTAGACCGTATGTCACAGTCCCGCGCTGACCAAATTGTTAATTTGAGATTCGCACAGATTTAGTGATCTCTCATTCCCAACTTTCACAACTTTCGTATTATTGGTTTGATTTATTTCAAACTTTTTTTCATTCTGTTTCTCCTATTTCTTTTCTGCTTTCACACAAAATCAATGCACTAATTACAAAGGCTGACCTGCCCTTTAAAAACTTACCAATAAAGAATGTGACTCCATGGTACATGCCTATGATGATACCTAGCTTCGCATAATCGGTATCTAACTGAAAGGAAATATCCGCCAAAAATACTCCGAAGCTTTTCACCACTCCCATCTCGAAAAAATTCAAGAAGAACACAGCCACAACAAAAACTAAATGCTGCCTCTGAAACGACATGATGTGGCAGTAATGGTCAATATCGTCGTTTGGAAACCACTCGTTCGTCCTCACGCTCAACTTCCTGTGTAGAGTCTAAGGAAATTGACATAATGAACGCCAGCGAGTAATATAAGTACGGTGTCCAATGAAGCTCCGCCAAGCGACCAGTCGTTGTGAAGTGTCCAAGTGGCACCCGCATTAAGATAACAAGAGAGTCAGACTTGAGCTAATTGTCTGATCTGAACTTTTCAACGTTAATGAACTCTTTTGATCACCTTTAATCATTTGAAAATTACTGAATATTATTTTCCAGTTTCTTGAACCATTATTTCGACGAATTTTTACCCACTATTATATTGCATGGTCTAACATTTGACTTCTTAGTTTCGTTATCTGGTAGTTGTGCATTGAATTCTCTTTTTTTTTGTTAATGTAAGTCAAAACAACGTGATAGTTAGACATAGTTTTTTTTAATAATTTTTTAATTTTTGAACAATCTGAATATTTTGATCCCCTGTAAACATTTTTGGATATCCTTTATCATTCATCCCTTTTAAATAAATATTGATACAACGAACATTAAATGTATTCAACCATATTGAAGAATCTGAATATTTTGATCCCCTCTAAACATTTTTGGATATCCTTTATCATTTATTCCTTTTGAATAAATATTGATACAACGAACATTAAATGTATTCAACCATATTTATTACTTTTGCATCCGTTATGAAATTATCATAGCTCATAGTTACATGAACTTGTACTTTGTAACTCTATTCATTTTTTTTCATCATTTGCAGTCAGTATGATAAGTTGACAATGATGATTATCTGTGTACATGGTTATTTCATTTCCATGCATTTTATGTGACGAAATTGTGGAAGAAAATCAAAAGACCTTATTATATTATGTACACATTGCAATAATTGGGTTCAGATTAGATGTGTAGGTATAGCACCGTCAACAGAGAATTAACACCAACGAATACCATTAGGTGTTCTGAGAAACTTATTAAATTCGTGCCCATTAATCTACAAGATTACCCACCAAAGTGTATGAGAAAGACATAAAGCAAGAATAAAGTACAGTTTCTCAGCAAGACATGGACATCGCCATTTTCTTGATTGCATGACGTACTATGCGGAGTCGTTTATCAAATATGTATTCAAATTTATGGATGCTTCCTTCCCAAGTGTTTGTGGTGTTGAAGCACTTCATTCACCTGCTATTATATTATCCTTCGTACTCCAATTGCCAGAACGCAAATTGCATAAATAAGTTGGTGCTGTTCTGGGGTGAAGGTTTCGCATACATTAAATAGATTTTTCAATCGCTATATTTAAGTATTTTTGAATAAGTGAGTTACAATTGTTACCCTATTTATATATTTTTCACCAAATGTAATCTTTTCCTTAATTCTCAGCTATGATTTTCCCTCATTGTAAAGTAAAGATTTTGTTATTTAATTTGTACAACTCCACCTTGTACGTCGCATTTTTCACGAAAATGGCTGCGCCCATGTCGTTCTAAAAGGCATTATATCATGTCAAGAAATCTTCATTTATATATCTCTTGTATACACGTTCGTAAGATGTATTCACTATGAACATGACCTAGCATCGTTTATCCATTCATGAATGACCCTGCATTCAATCAGCAGATGGATGAGATTTATTGTTGTATTACCAACGCTCCTTCTCTCCCCTTTCCCTTTCTTCTCTGCAAGTCACACTCTTTTTTTTATTTATATTTTGTATTGTTGTATCTAAGTTGAGGGCTGCGGACACGTCAAGCTACTTTGCTTATTTCTGTAGCCCTCCTGCATCTAATGTATGTTAATTATGCATTCAATATATTTGTTTAATTTCGTTTATTATCTGTATAAAATTATATACACTTAAAATATTGTATCAAACCATATTATGTTCATCAAAATGTATGATGAAAACAAAGAAAAAAGATGCAGAAACCAATCAATCAAATCAAATCAAAACATGACGGACAAAGAAAGCGGACAAAATATACAGTTCCTCAGGTAGACAAAGGAACATCCCTTCACTGATATTATAGTGTAAAAATGTGTAGAACAGGTGTCACATGCATATTCACCTGTTCTACAAATTTGTACATAATAGCAGTGAAGGGATGTTCCTTTGTCTACCTGAGGAACTGTATATTTTGTCCGCTTTCTTTGCCCATCATATTCACAGTGATTGTACATCAAAATGCAGGAATTCATCTCGGTTTTCAGAATACCTATACTTATTCTTTGGGGTTAGTTATCCTTTAAATGTAACGTTTGTAGGATGAAAATGTACAAATTGTCTGTTTAGCCGGTTGCCTTTTTCAAATGAACAAATATTGCATATTAATGGTAATGATTTACTCAGTGCAACATACGCCAGGTACTCTGGTCATAATAAGCAAAATATAAATAATTGTATTAATCAATATACTAAAGAAAAGGGAATGAAAATAGCACATTTAAATTTTAGAAATTTTAGGAATAAAATTATTATCATTATTATTAATACTACTACTCCTACTATTATTATCATTATTATTGCCATTAAACATGCTATTGACTTGCTTTATATACCCCTAGACGAATCAATACGGTTTATTAAGATATTCAAATTTTATGCATACTTTTTAAACACAGGTTGTTCTTGCCAACATGAAGGCATGCCCGAGCTTACCCGACATAATTAAAAATAATATGCAGACTGGATTCCAAGTATTGTAGTTCATTCATTAATAACTGGTTAATGGAATACCTCGTCTGTAGGCCCTCAAGAAAAAAATATTCATAAACTTGAATATGTTAGTAAACTGGTCTATTGTCCATTTCCATACGCTAATTTAAAAAGACGTGTGCATTAAATTTGATTGCATTACGAAAAATGGCCTATTAAAGATAAAGGCCAGTTATGGTCACGCGATTGCATTGTGAAAGAAACGTTGTGGAATCGATCAGAAAAGGTTGTTCATCTAGCATATAAGTATTGATGTGTACTGCAAGGTTCTGGAATCATCAAAGTGATAAGACATTTGGCCCAGTCTTCGTAAAGTCGACACTGTACACAGAAAGATGTATATGGGACTACGCACACGTGCGCGACACGTGCGTTTATCTCTCACATCCCAATAGAAAAATTAATTTACCAAATATATCAATTGGTAGGTGATTTCCCGCAATTTTTTATCATCATATATATTCTTTCACATGATTGGTAATAAGAGCTTCCATTACATTTTTTGAAATTGGGGCGTTTCCAATACTGGTCTTTACCTTTAAGTGCCTTTTAAGAATTATTTTATTCAAATCTAACGAATAATTGTATTCAAATAGTCAGGATGCAAATTGCACACTTCACGTTCTGTTACGTATGTTTAAAGGGATCGGGTAACTTTGTCTCAGATTCTGAAACAAAATCCTGGATTTAGCTCATGCAATGATTATTATAAACAGTCATTTAGGTCAGTCAGGAACCCCATGACTTTTACAAGCCGGTCGCCTGTCTGATTATCAAGATATGTATGATTAGAAATCGAAATTTAAAAATTCGTAGTCCTAACGGTTTCCATAACACTACAGTCTATTGTGAAAATGAGTATGGTAAAAACCGGTCACTCAAAGAGTGTTACTTTTTTTGAGGCACTTCATGATCATTTTGAAGCGCATTTTTTTTAATTGCTTCAATATTACACCATATCACAGACACTGATAACACGTAGGGCCATGCATCTCAGATTTAACATTGTTAAACGATGCCTAGTGTCCAGAGGCCTATATAAACGGGAGCAGTTCACCTATTCTGCCATAGTTAAGCTGCATTCGTCTCTACTGTAATCTTTCAACACAGACATGTATGAATATGATTTGATTCGATTTGATTTATTCATTTTCGTTTCATTATAATCATGTACAAAACACATACAAATTCAATGATTGACATGAATCAATGTAATTTGATTGAAGACAAAAAAGAAATTATTAGAAATAATTATGGAAGAAGCAAAAATGGAAACGCAACGCAACACAGTTTTAATCAGTATAGGCCTAAATGTGGGGGGGGGGGGGGGGGGGGTAGTGAGCACAATTTTTTTTTTGGTCCTCGAAAATTTTAAAATTTGCACCCCCCCCCCCCCTTGAGCGCCAGGGGGGGGGGGGGGCCCAACCCCCCAAAAAGATAAAAATCGCGTGATTTTGCATGATTTTTTTCTCAAGGGTACCCATATTTGTATCGATGAACTTTATTCACTAATATACAAAAGGCATTCCTTTACTTATTACTCATACAGAAATGCTCTTGAATAAATCGCGAGCAGCCTTATTCAATCAAGGTCACTGCTAAAAGCAATGCCACTGACTGAAAATCGGTGCCAATGTGCCAACACTTTCTCTTTTAGGAGCCTAAAGTTTCAGAAGTTTATGCATTTTAGAACAAATATTTTGACTGAAAATGTTCGTTTGGTGTAAAAAAAAAAAAGAAAAAAAAAGAAAAACCCACTATGAACAAAACAGTGAAATTTGGTAAATGTTAAACATGTGACCCTCGTGACCCACGACACCCAACTACTCAGTTAGCGAAATACCTTTAGTGACGTTTATGAGATCTATAATTTTGTAATCAGTGTGCTTATGTATATTATAGGCAACAGTACTGACATTATAACAACGTTATATATTACGACCCCCTTCCATTCCTAATTATACGCCATCATAAACGATTGTGCTTAAAATGTAGAAAGGTGAGATATGATAATTCAAGAAGGTGATAAACCTTGCACTTTAAAGGTAAAGACTAGTATTGGAAACGCCCCAATTTCAAAAAATGAAATGGAAGCTCTTATTACCAATCATGTGAAAGAGTATGTTCTGACTAATACATGATGATACAAATTTTGCCGGGAAACCGCCTACTTATGATATATTTGGTAAATTACTTTATCTATTGGTGTGTGAGAGATAAACGCACGTGTGCGTAGTCCCATATACATCTTTCTGTGTACAGTGCTTGTAACTTTTCAAAGACTGGGCCAAATTTCTCATCATTTCGATGATTCCAGAACCTTGCAGTACACATCAATACTTATATGCTAGATGATCAACCTTTTCTGATCGATTTCACAACGTTTCTTTCACAATGCAATCGCATGACCATAACTGGTCTTTATCTTTAAAAAAGATACCATTTTAAACCATTCCAAATTCGATTGCAGCCTTTTGTAAGTAACAAAAGTAGAGAAAACATATTTAATAATTGCAACATTACCTCATTAAACCGGACAAATGCGCAAACTAACATACAACATACAACAATACACAAGAATAACAGATACAAATTAAGTCAGCTTAAACAGGATAACCCACGAAAGCTCGAGAGCTTATTCCCCGACAGACATGAACAAAATTAGTAAGTTTAAATTGTAATATTTACAGACAGATAAGAAGAAAAAACTTATTAAAGATAATAATGATAATAATAATATTATTAACAACATTAAACTGATGATAGAAATGATAATAAGTACAAGAAGTAAAGAAAGAAGAAGGAAACGAAGAAAAAGAGGACGAGGACGAGGAGGACGAGGAGGAGGTGGAAGGAAAGGAAATAATAATGAATATGTATAATTTCTATAACGTACAAAAACATAAGTAAATACAAAATGAAAAGTATGAACCGGCAGAAGAATGACAATTTCAATCATAATACATGTCATTCGCTTCTCTTCTCTTTTCTTCCGTATTAACTTACCTCACTTTCCCCCCTGCTTTCCCCTACACGAAAATTTTAAACTACGGCAGTTTACAGAGACTTCAAAGAAAAGCGTGAAATTACAAAATGAGACAGGATTGAACCAAGAAAAATAATGGGCATCAAATTTACGAAACAACAACAACAACTGTAGAAAAAAAATCACTCTTAAAAGGAAAAACATTATTTTCTATGAACTTATCGAAAACAAATTCAAGAAAGATATTTACTAGGCCAAGGTGTCCGTTGAATACATACTACTATATAAGCCCTATTTTGTTAGTTCATAGAATTTTTTTTTTAATATAATGTTTCTCAAAGTTTTTGTATTATTTGGAGCACAAAATAAAGCAACGCTCGAGAATTTCTAATTCTTGCACATGAACCAGAGAGGCGTTTTCAAAAATTTGATTTTAGCATTCAAAATTTCTCCTGGAAAGCTGAAATTTTGAAATTAGGTAGTTTAAACATACTTCTTTATCGGAGATCAATTAAACAAAATCAATAGTGTTAATGATCACAACATTATTCAAGCAAGACAATGCGTCCTTCGGTGTGTCCATATTTACGATTTAATCAAGGAAATTGACCTTAAGCATTGTGAAGGAAGGTGTAGGTGCCCAGGGTGTATAATTTGTTATTCACACCTCTACCATCAACCACTAAGTGGAAGACATCATATCGAATATATTTTAATATTTTAGTCAGGAAAATACACGATTTTCACGCATTTCAGTACTGGGTTGCGATGAATAGCTTCAAGGCTCCCGGGCCCCGGTGCCCCGAAAATAATGAAATATTGGTTGAAAAGTTGAAATGTTGAATTAACAATGTATTTTTTTTTAAATAATTTATTTCACATATTCATACAGGGTATCTCATTGAAAACTGGTCTTCCATAAGGCCCTGTCTCAATACAAATACACATATATCCAAATTTTCAAAACAAAATCATACATAATATAACAGTAGGAAGAAAAAGACAACAAATTGAATAAATAAAGCATATTAACATCAGACACAAATGATAAACACGTAAAACTAACAATGTGAAATAAGTTACGATAAAAAACAAAAACGTGATCTTTTATGTTGCCTTGCTTTGTAAAAATACAAATAGATATGCAAAATGTTTACATATTTAATAAAGTAATAGAAAAAATAGAGCTTAACATCAAATACGACAACAAATATATTTAGTAAATGTAAGACCATATTAAAGGTAAATAATGATACAATAAAAGAAGTTAAAATGACCTTTGTATTGAAAAAAAAACAGGAAGTGAGACACTGCTCGTATAATATTGTAAAAGGGCAAGAAAGGTCAGATTTTAAAATGTTTTGCAAGAAAGAGGATTCATGATAAAATTGACAGAGCTCCGAACCTATAAATCTCCCAGATCCAATTTAGAAGATACAAATTTAAAATGAGTTTGAGAAAATTTAAAAACATGTTACTTCTCTGATATCATCCGTTTAAATACATTGATAGTTAAACAAATTCGGGCTTCCACTGTAAATTTGTTCAACACTTTAACTCCATAATTCACGAAAGTGTTAGAATAAAATTCAGTATTGCACTTAAAGCTTATCTGCCATAGTTTACAGGATGGATTAGACCGCCCTACGAGGTCACTGGATAGGTGGTTATCTCATCGACTCAGCTCTCAGTTAACATAAGAAAAAGAGGATCATGGGGGACCGATGGTCACCGATTAGGCATTGTTTGTTGTATAGAGGGCGCAAGTAGCTACAAGTAGTGCAGTGGGCCTTTAAAAGGTTTCAACAGATTCTTATTACTAGTTCGAGTTGTACGTTGCATGATCATCGAGTAGTACAAATTTATCAGACATAGCTGGAGGAGCTAAATTATTAATACATTTAAAAAACAGACAACAAGGAACTTGTTGAAAAATTCATTTAGAGTTGGCCAATTTAGGCCATCCAAGACCTGTCGGTAATTATCTTTAGTATGCACGTAGAAAGAAAAATATATCATCAACATAGTTTAATTCCCTAATTTGAATCACTTATGTAACATTTTGGGCCCTGGATCATAATCAGATTTGGGTATATTACCTAGTAGCTGAGACGTATTTGCCTATCAAATTTCACCCAATGCATCTATACTAGCCAAACTTTGTCAGTAGGAAGTGTGCCACTGAACATATTTCACACACACACACACATACACAAAAAAAGGGACATATATTTCCGCTTGGGAAGCATGTCGATATGCCCCCCCCCCCAAAAAAAAAGGGGGTAATCTTTTCCCCCTAAGTCCAATGACTAACCAAATTTTGTCAAAGTCATGCGGTTCCCCTTTAAGTTTTTTCTGCCCCAAACTGGTGTATATACTAGAAAAAGCGTTATTATACATTCTGAACTTAATTCAATTATTTTAAATTTAATGTATACAGTGCAATCGTTGTGTTGTAAAAATATGTATTGCTTTCTCAAAAGTAGCCAAAACTATTGACAGGATTATTTACTTAAGACCGTCACCACTACTGGGCAAGAAGGGATTAGACCACACAGCGAGCCATTGAGGTCACTGTGACAGGTGGCCGCTATCTCATTAACTCAGCTCTCATTCAACATAAGAAAAAGAGGATCATGGGGGACCAACAGGCACCGATTGGGGAAGTTTTCTATATAGAGGGAGCAAGTAGCTACAAGTATGGCAGTGTGCCTTTAAAACATCTGCGCCTGTTTTACAGTTTACACGATATTAGAGGAGCAATATGTAAATACAAAGTATAAAACAGACCTTCACAAAATACCGATGCATCTTCAGCCTACCTTGAATCTTGATTGTCAACTCGCATGCAAGTCTTTACATGAATCGTTCGTGATTAAATGCCCCGTGCATCTAATTAGGAGAGGACCAATAGGAAATGCTTTTAGTCATCCAGTTCTCGTATTTATCCAATCAACGCGCTTGTTAGAAAGCTGACGCAAATGTGATTGAAAACGGCGGACAAAACGAATTGCTACGCTCTGTAGACTGTTGTTATTTTTAAAGAAATACACTGATTCACAACTTAGGCGCCTCGATATAGAGATTTATTTCAGGATTTTACAGCAGCAGATGGACTATGAAAATATTGTTCATACATTTTGGGATTATTATGCTGTTCCTTGTCAGCGGAACAGGAGCATTTTTCTCATGGATTTTTGGAAGCTCGAAGCAGAAGGACCCGACGTCAGCGGAGACGACCGGGGCGCCCGTCGGCCCCGTACCGTTCGAGGTGAAGTCTGCAGATGAAAAGTTTTTGAGCACGGGAAGTGAACTCTTGGCTGGACTGTCTGAGCTAGATGTTTGTCACCATACTGTAAGCAGTTAGAGTAATGAGTTTAATGGTATCAACTTTGATTAATTAAAAGCAAACAAATTCGAGAATTAAATCTGATCTGATCGATCAAGCGTTATTGAAAAAAATGAAGAAAATGGGCTGTCCGATGCATGTGCAATGAATGATGACGTAGGTTAATTGCATTATTAACATGATTAAAGCCCCTCCGGCTCCTCTCAAGTTTTGGGAGCCCCCAAAATTTTATGGCAAAATTGTAATTGAACTGTATCATAATCATTTAAATATCTGCAAGGATTTTTAAAACAAATGTGTTTGAACTTCATTGAAGTCAAAAATTGATAAAAGAATTAAAAATTAAAGTTTTCTGCGTACAACAGAAACCCCAAATTATTTGGGGCTCCCAACACTGTAGAGGGGGTTTAACCTACATGTAGTCTATATCACCAGGACTTGATTTGCACCTATACCCCATTACCTTCCATAAAATGCATTGTAGACCTAGATCTACATCACAAAAATGCCGACCTCTCACCAGACGCAGAAAGTTTGCAGTATTGACTGTTGCTTCTTCTGGAAAGGCAGAAACACAAATTAGCTGTTTTCGCGGTGCCAATTTTATACATAACAACAATATTAGCAATATTAGTTGTACTAAGGCTACGCATTGAGTTCACTGAATTTAGCGAACTCCCTGTGAGTGCATTTTTTCAACACTATTCTATAATCTATTATCGTAAAATAACCATCAAATTTACAACATTTTGGTTAAATTCTTGACAAAATTCAAAGTGCTTTTGTATTAAAGTAAAGGCTAGGTGAATTTAGTTTATCAGCTGCTTTGACCTTTGTACATGTACTTTACAACCCCCCTACAGGTGGTCTACGAGCTGAAGGGTTCCTGCAATGAGATGTCCGAGGAGGAGCTTGCTAAGCTAGGGGTGCGGCTTCTTAACTGTCAATCAGCAGCAGAGGGACGGCCCACCTATAGGTGCACCCATGAAATGGTGAATAAAGCCCTGTTCAACCACAATGCAGTTGGCCATCGTTAATCGCCACAGAACTATGCATGTAATATATTGGGGATAAAAAAAATATACATGTAGCTGTGCTCAACAACTGGCCATGCATGTGCATGTACATGTTCATCGCTACTCACTGCATGATCCAAGTGTTATGAGAAACACAGAATTTGACAGAATTGTGTTCCCCAATTCTTTTCCGAATGGACCGTAATGGAGCAAAAACTAAAGATCCTAGTTACTAAAGATCCTACTTACAGTACATAAAGATGACAAGCATGGTTTACACAGACCCCCCCCCCCCCCACATTTCTTTGTAGTTCCCTATATTAGTAATTCAGTCACTATAGAACCATGCAGAAGAATCAAGTCACAATGATACAGATTGGTAATGTGTTCTTGTTTATCTACTAGAAGACAAATTCACCATTGAAATATAACCAGTAAAGCACCCCCGGTATGCAGTACGGTAAGTGTTAACATATCATCAATAGTGATCTGTCAGTTCATGACAGGTTCAGTGACCCAATCAGAGTTCGACATCAACTTCAAGTGTCTCTCCAAGTACCTTGGTCTTGAGCCATCCGTTTCAGTGTTTCATACCCTGTTGCTCCACATTCTGTGATTACATCGTCTAGAAAGTCTTTAGTTTACGAGGTCTTCCCCTCATCTTCTTTCCATGTAGACGACCTTCTATTACTCTGATCATCGAGCCATCATCATGCCGCATTATGTGTCCAATCCATTTCTTCTGGCTCTGATCGTTTGAAGCAGCACCCGCTTTTCTTGAGCTCGATGCGACACCTCTTTAATCGAAAATCTGTCCCTCCAAGACACACCTAGTAATTAACATATAGCATACTATTATTTATTGTTTTGATAGACAGTAGCTGAGTGTACCAAGAACATGGACCCTAACACCTGGAATGCCTATCATATCGTGAGCAACCGAGCCAGGTCCGTGTGCTATGCGGTGCGACAGCAGCAGTTTCAGAGGCAGACACAGTTTGCAGTCAATCAACTGGCATCGAGCGCTGAGGGACAGCTACATCTCATGCAAGACCTCAAGGTACTATCGATACAAATTAATTGTAAAGTACACAGATGTGATCTCTATGGGCATATTTAAGAAGTTTGCTCTTGAAAATACTTATAAACAATCTGAGTACAGGTGTAAAGCTAAACAATCGAGCCATATGAATGATAACATTTAGAGACATTAGTGGGTGCTCTAGACCTCAAGACATGATGCTTGTGTTTTACTTGTTTCATTTTTTCTTCAGAACGGTCAAGAAGACCTGAACTCCATGGCAACGGATACCTTTCACACCATCTCCGAGGGTCAAGAGAAGCTGGTCAAGAGCCAGGAGATGATCGGTAATTCCCAGTCCAAACTTCGCCTGACCGTTGAGAGTAACATGCGGGATCTGACCAGAGAGAAGGCCCTTATTGCAGCGGGACATCAAGAATTAGCAGCTATGACAAGTAACATCAGGAAACAATTAGGTATGCCTTCTCAAAAGAAATTTACGATCCGTTTGTATAATTTGTCAAAAACTATGAAAAGAATTATAATTAGCTGTTCTCTTGAAAATGAAACATGATCCCCCGAACTGCACTTGCATCTCCTAAAGCCCTTGGTAAAGATCGAATATGGGTGAAATCTGTTCCAGTTCAAAGGTGTACCAAAAATAACATACTGCAACTTTCAGGTAGGATCATACTGCAGACCCCTCACTTAAAGTCTCACTTGAGTAAAATGTAAATTTCGGTTTAACTCAGTACAACTTTCTGAAAAAAGATCACCAACTTTGTATTACAGAAGTATCTCTTGAAGGACATGGTGCGACAGGGAATAACTTTTTTTCCAGCAGAATTGAACAAACACTATATTACCACTATATGTTTTTATTACTCAACCTGTCATATATATTTTCCATGTTGTATTTGCATGTTTTTTAAAAGCCATCTACAATGTACATGTAGATGTATGCGTGTAGCTGTTGCAATGGTCACACGCATATAACTCGGAATGTATTTTACTTGCTTCACTTCTTTGCCCTAATAAATGTCCTCCCAAAGCACTCATCATTCTCAATATTGGTTTTTATTAAGATGAAGCCACTCATCAGCTGCTGGAACAGGATATCCATCAGGCCAATAAACACCAAGAAGTCTTAGAAGATCTCTCCAGTCTAAGTCTCCTAGCGAAGGATGTTTGGAACAAACTAGGTAATTAAAGTGACTCGGTAACATTGTTGAAGGTTGATGAAAAAAATTGCTTAATTTTTGTATAAAATGTTACTTACTATATTCCTTTTACTATACTAACCCTCTGACATGCAAAAAATCCTGAATAAATTCTCAAAATACAAAGATATCTATGGTTTTCTTTGAAGGCGTCGATGTGAGGCACCCTCTAACAGTGATTAACAGTAAATTCTCCCAACCATTTTTGAATTTTCCCAACCGTTTTTCCATGACAAAAATACATAAAACAGGCTATAAAAATATGTCAACACTTAACTGTCTGGAATGGAATGTAGAGCCATTTTATTGCTTTGTGACGATTTACATTCACCTAAAATGTAATTTAATTGTCCTTGTCTTGATGCTGAACAGGCTTTGACAAGTAGCAGGATAGAAGTAGAATAATATAGTTGGGAGAATTAAGGAATCGATCAGATCAGTTTTTCCCGATTTGTACCATGAATAATGATCCGTTTTCACTCAAATTTTCAGATTATCTTTAATTGTACATCTAGCATTGAAGTCACTACCTTAGCACCACTATCTCTCATCTGAACAATGTTACAAAGTCCCTTTAAGATAATTATTTGTGTCTTTAAAGTTTTACAGTCTCAGAAGTCTGCACAGTTTAGTAGCAAGAAGACAGTTGGAATACATTTCATTAAACCAGTGCCCCATCTTACATAGACTTGATATCAATCGCAACTATTGTTGTACATAGGAGACTGCAAACTTGCGATTGATCAATCGTAACTCTTTGTAAGACAGGGCCTAGAAGACCGAAGATTTTAAGTTCTCCCCGAGGGACTTGGTAATGTGGATTAATGCCTTACCAACAGCCACTGGCGCATCGACTTGGTTTCAAACCAGGGACTTCCCGGTTTAATACGAGAACACTGCTCTACCACTGGGCCGCCCCACCTCCTTTTCTTTGTATGAAAGATTTTATTTGCAATGCCCTACATTTTTATTCTCATCATTATATGATTGAGATAGATTAAATCAGTACTGTTTTGTTTGTGAGCCTGAATACTATTCTTTCAAAGTCTTATTATGGTCTATAATGATATGATATACCTGCTTTCGTATTCTCATGAGGCCAACTGACAACATAATAATAATGATGATATTCCTCATTTTTTTATTATTTATTTTATTTATTTATTTATTTTGGTTTAAAAAGACATGTAAATATACATGATCCAAAGGTCCAAGGACCAAAACTGATCATGTTTACAAATTATACAATACAGTTATAAATACAGTAAATATACAATAGTCAAATCAATACAATACCAAATTAAACTAAGAGAAAGTAGTGGTCAAGATCGTCAAATTACTAAACTGATATATGGTAATAGTAGGAGATAAACAGACAAAAATAATGTTGAGTAACCAAACAATAAAAAAAAATAGGGGGAAAATATATTTTGAAAATAGGCAACGATAAAAGCCTTAAAACCTGAATTAACATAATTACGTTTGAGTTGAAAGGGTTTCCACACAGAAATATATATATTACAAATTTATATAGCGCTTAATACATCAATCATGTCTCTAAGGGCTCTACAAATATATTAGTACCCCGGTCATCGGATTCAGGCTTGCCCGCACACAATGTTTGCACACTCTCCACTCCCTGGGGAGCATTCCATTCTATACATTTCATACAAAAATTACACCATTTTTTTCATCAACCTTCAACAATGTTACCAAGTCACTTTAAAGGTAATACAAAGTTTTGGTATGGGGTCATGAATTTGGTTCAAATGTACATATTGGACGCATATGCGGTCCTACAATATTCAGTGATCGTTGTCGTGGATGAAATTGAGTCTAAAGTTATGAAATTGTAAATAATAAACTCTATATGTTGTATAGCTCCCTCTCAAGGTCAAGATATAAATTGAGCTATAAAAAAATGTTTCTTGACTAAAATCTACCAATTAGTTGTTTCCGTTCAGAAATTATATATCACAACTACATATTCTGAGATTTTCATGGTCGCAGCTACCATTGTACGGCCGTAAGTGCTATTTAAGAAGTTTATCAAAATTTACCGGGAGCACCGGTAAATTTTTATATTCAATTTTTCTCAAAAGCAGAAGTAGATTAGGAGCTAAATTTTCTAGTGCTTATAATACATCCACAGGGGCATCCAAATATATCAAAATTGTAAAGAATCAGTATACACCCAATTTTTAAAATTTCCCAAAACTTTGTTTTACCTTTAATGTCATATTGGATGTTTATACACCAGATCATAACATGGAGTACATGCACACGTATCAAGAAGAGACTGCTCAGCACTACCACCAGACACTTGACAACCTCAAGAAGATGAACAACACTATAGAGTATCTACTGCATGTCATGGAAGAGATGCAGAATGAGATCAACCACCAACTAGGCTGGGTTACTCAACTGCTAACATGGACAGGTTTGTATCAAGCAACAACAGGCCTTATGTAAATAATGCTCTGCATTTTCCACCCATCCCCCATGTGGTATAGTCATTATCTTACGTTTCCCTCGCCCAAAGACTCTCTGAGAGAATATGGGGTATTTCTTGATGGGACCAAGGGTGTGCTGTGTGCAAGACTTGTACACCTGGTCTGGTGTTAGCGAATTACGACTTTCTACACATTGAAACGATGACCATCTCCCTTTAAGGGGATCTGGTAGCTTTGTCTCAGATTCTGAATCAAAATTCTAGATTTAGCTCATGCTGCAATTATAATTTTTAACCTTTAGGTCAGTCAGGAACCCCATGAATTTTACAAGCCGACCCCCTGTCTGATTATCAAGATATTTATGATTGGAAATCGAAATCAAATTTTGCGTTTTCCTAACTGTTTTCATAACACTACAGTCAATTGGGGAAAACGAGTGTGGTAAAACCGGTCACTCAAAGATTTTTTCTTGAGGCACTTCTTGATTTTGAAGCGCGATATTTTTAGGGCTTCGACATTACAATATCACAGTCACTGATAACACGTAGGGCCGTGCATCTCAGATTAAACATTGTTAAACGATGACTTCAAAGATCATTTATTTAGCATCAACTTTTTTTTCTTGATTTACTCACAGGTGAAAACATGTCATTGCTTGTCACGTGTGTCCTCCACACCTGTTACTTCTTCATGGCTGCTGTACTGTGCTCCTTTCTCAACACACCAACCTTCTCTCGTCTTGTTCTCCTGCTGGTGGTACCACTCAATGCTGCAGCCGAGATAAGGCAGGGCACCAGTCTCGATTTCCCATCTCTGTCCTTCTTCATCACTTCAGTGGTTATGGGTGAGTATATTCGGCATTCAGCAGAGATGCCAACCAGTATGATTAAATCGTATTTAGTATGATAATAAGAGTGACATACGATAATATGATATCACCTCTTAAAATACGATTTTTCATCTTTAAAAAAAAAAAAAAAAAATTTAAATGAAAGAGCAAACATTTTACTTGACTGTACTTACCAGTAAAACATTTTCCTGAAATTTTACAGGCTAGGGGCTGACGGGCCAGTGCGATAGTGTCAAGTTTTCGTAAAAATCAGATTTTTCTCTCCAAAATCCGATTTTTTAGGATACTCAGTCTTTTTTTTTGAGTCAAGAGGTTGGCATCTCTGATTCAATCAATGGTGTATTATTTATGCATTCAGTGCTAAGCTAATACTCTATCTTCGGTTAGTCAGTGGTGACACTTGCAGTTCTGGAAACTAAAACCTTTGCACCATCAAAGTCATAATCATAATCGCTTGTGTGCGATGTTGTGTACTGGGGCTTACAAAAAATAATGATTAATATCTTGCCAGAGGACATAAGTGCTGTGGCAGGACGCGAACTGTGAACCTTATGATCCACAGTCCGGTGACATACCCACTAGACCACAACAGCCATGACTAATACACTTTACTTACAAGTCAAACAAGGTACCGGTAGTCATTATTGTTTTCTTCTTTCTTTCTCTTCTACCCCTCTGCAGCTAACTGGGTAGCATTGTGGCTCTCTGCTTGGAGACATAGAGGGCGTGCTCCGATAAGCCCTCATACGCTCTACCTACCAGACCTGTCGTGTATCAATGGGTAAGTGTTCTATACCAACATTCTCCCTAAAAACTTGTTACGAAGTAGCCGGAGGCATTATGTTTTCTGGGTGTCCGTCCGTACGTACGTCCGTCCGTACATCCCGTTCTCGTGATCGCGTTATCTGAAGAACCGATTAATGGATTCCTGCCAAACTTTGGTCATGTATGTATCTTGCAGAGCCGATGAACTGATTAGATTTTGGGGTAACAAGGTCAAAGGTCACATGGCTCATTATGTATGCAAAAACAGCTCATGATCGCGTAATCTCAAGAACCGATTGATGGATTCCTGCCAAACTTTGGTCATGTATGTATCTTGCAGAGCCGATGAACTGATTAGATTTTGGGGTAACAAGGTCAAAGGTCACATGGCTCATTATGTATGCAAAAACAGCTCGTGGTCGCGTTATCTCAAGAACCGATTGATGGATTCCTGCCAAACTTTGGTCATGTATGTATCTTGCAGAGTCGATGAACTAATTAGATTTTGGGGTCACGAGGTCAAAAGTAACAGGGCTCATTATGTATGCAAAAACAGCTCGTGATCGCGTTATCTCAAGAACCGATTGATGGATTCCTGCCAAACTTAGGTCATGTATGTTACTTGCAGAGCCGATGAACTGATTAGATTTTGGGGTAACAAGGTCAAAGGTCACATGGCTCATTATGTATGCAAAAACAGCTCGTGGTCGCGTTATCTCAAGAACCGATTGATGGATTCCTGCCAAACTTTGGTCATGTATGTATCTTGCAGAGTCGATGAACTGATTAGATTTTGGGGTCACGAGGTCAAAAGTAACAGGGCTCATTATGTATGCAAAAACAGCTCGTGATCGCATTATCTCAAGAACCAATTGATGGATTCCTGCCAAACTTAGGTCATGTATGTTACTTGCAGAGCCGATGAACTGATGAGATTTTGAGGGTCAAGGTCAAAGGTCATGCAGCTCATTATGTAAGCAAAATAGCTTGTGATCGCATAATTATCATTAGAACAGATTGATGGATTCCTGCCAAACTTAGATCATGTATGTATCTTGCAGAGCCAATGAACCGAGTAGATTCTTGGGTCATGAAGTCAAAGGTCAAATGTCATGGGCTCATTATGTATGCAAAAATAGCTTGTGAACGCATTCTCATTAGAACTGACAGATGGATTACTATTTAACTCATGACATCTTGCAGAGCCAATGAACTGAGTAGATTTTAGGGTCATGAGGTCAAAGGGTCATATATGTATATGAGAAATCGCTTGTAATCACGATATTCTGAGAACCTGTTAATGGATTACAATTGAACTTGAATTTGAAAAATTTCTTCTGTTTTGGTTTGTAAACTTGCTCTATGACGGAGGCATCATTTTCCATCTAGTTTTTTTACCCCTGTTTGGATGTTAAAGCACATTCTGATTAAAATGTTTTAAAAGTATGAAACTATTCATTATATTTTTATCCCTTATTTTAGGATAATTTACCACTTCTTATTTTTGTTTGTGTGTGTGCTTGAAATGACCACACAGTGTTATTAACTGGCTGGAATCCTGTTAAAGATAATATTTCTGTACTTGTAATAAATACCTCTTTGTTGGCATTTGTTTATGTATTTGTAGGGTATTCTTTCTCCTATTTGTGACCTACCCATATGTTTCTGTCTGCCTCTCTCTCTCTCTCTGTTTTCACTACCCTCCATTGAATAATGCCATTGCACAGAGATGTAGAATGTGGTTATAAAAAGGTGAGTCCCGTATTCTACTAGTATTTAAATCTGACGCTGGGTTTAAGCTTCTGTCCAAAATCAAGTTTGACAAAGTTAGACCGTGGTCCAAATTTCCCTTTGATAAATGTGATCTCAGATCTAGGGTCAGGTTTAACTGCATTATAAAAATATGGACCTTAATGTTTTAAATGAAATATGTACAATCTTTTTGGTATTTGTCAGATCCCCGCCACGAGATTTGACGTATGAACCCCATAGCTTCGGCGATTCAGATTCTGGATTATCTAGCAATAGAAGACTTCACTCGACGGGATTTACGAGCATGCTATCAGCAGAGTCCACTAGAAACATGACCAGTCTACTGGTAAGTTTGAGGGAACTATTTACAAGTAAGACTTATCTACAAAATAGGTCATTTTTATAATGTTTTCAAATTTATATTAAAGTTCACTTACTAAAAACAAGATATTACATTCACTTTTTTGTTATTTGTTAATTTGATTACATTGGTTATTCTAAGGTAGTCAAGCCATTATGTTTCTCCTACCTAACAACTGGGAATGTATGCAATTTGCATTCTGGCTATTGAATAAAAAAAATCATTGTTAACATGCGAAATGAAATAATTTGTACCTAGGCACTTCACAAAAACATATGCATTAAATTTGATTGCATTAAATACATGGCCTAGTGCACATTTTGTGGATACCTCACTGGAAATATCTCAAAGATCCAGAGAGTCACCGTGTGAGCAATTAAAATGCAACTGCCAGTTAATAGATATCGGTCGAAGGTCAAATATTGCAGAGGTTGTTTCAGGTAAAGCTGCATGCACATGTGTCATCATACGTGTCTTGTGATTGGTAACTCCAGTAACTTTTTGTTTTAAAGGTGACATTATTTCTCAACAAAAAACTTAAGTAGTGGCAAACAGAAATTTACAATGTATTAAATGTAAGCTGAAGTTGAAGTTTGAAGTTTGAGATACACTTGCTTTCATCTTGTTTGAAATTTCATCCAGATAGAATAAATTGAAGCTCTCTTGCTATCCTAACAATATTTCCCGAAATTCTCTTTTTACAATTGAACTCCCATAACAGAGTAGCACAAGACATCACTCCACTTTGAAAGATACTGATGGTGGATTTGAAGATGATGAAAGTGATTCAGATGTCTTCAGTAGTGATCAGGATGATGATAATACCATCAATCAAACTTCAAACAGGTATTGCACTCTACTTTAATCATTATGAAGTATTTGGTGTCACCTGTGCCTGGGAGGCAAAAAGTAAACTGATCACTATATAACCCTCGGTTAAACTGATTGGGGATGTGCAGGTGGACCACTCCCCCGGGTTTGCCCCTACTCTTATACGAATAGTGCTGTGGGTTCTTAACGTGCAAAGGTGGTAACTCTCCTCTACAGGAGTATTGGGTATAACAAGCAACAGAATTCCTGTGTAACCTATCAACATGATCTTAAAGGGAAAGTCCACCCCCAAAATAAGTTTGTTTCGATAGAGGCAGAATAATAAGAAAATCAGGTGAGTGAAAGTTTGAGCAAATTCTGAATGAAAATAAGAAAGTTATGAATTATTGAAGTTGTGATCAATCAAATACAAATTGGCAACTCTGTGACTTATCATACGAGCTCTCCTTCATTTGCTTTGTGCATAATATTCCATAAAATCATGTTTTCTTTGTTATTGATGACGGAATATACATTTGTTCCTTGCAGGGGGAGTATAAAAACATATTTGCAATTATTATATTTAGGATGCATGTATGGTTGAAATTTTTCTTGAGGGAAAATGAAAATTTTAGATTTTTTTAGTACTGAGCAAATGGAAGTTGAGCTGGCATGATACGTCATAGAGTTTCCAATTTGTGTTTGATTGATCACAACTTAAAAAATCCTAGCTTCCTTATTTTTAATCGGAATTTGCTCAAACTTTCACTGACTTGTTTCTCTCATTTTTCTACTCCTATTAAAACTAACTTAATTTCAGGGTGGACTTCCCCTTTAACTCATTTAGTGGAATAGCTTGAATTACAGCTCAGCGCAGAAAATTGTGGTTCTTATTTGATACATTTCATGTTACCAAGGAGTTGCGAGGCAAGGTCTCTTTGTAACTCCTCGATGTAACATACATCACAACAAGGAAGAACAAGCCAGCCATTAAGCAAATGAAATGTCCAACCCCACAAAGTGGGAAAAATGGACTTTAAAGATAAAGACCAGTTATGGTCATGGGATTGCATTGTGAAAGAAACGTTGTGGAATCGATCAGAAAAGGTTGATCATTTAGCATATAAGTATTGGTGTGTACTGCAAGGTTCTGGAATCATCAAAATGATAAGAAATTTGGCCCAGTCTTGGTAAAGCTACAAGCACTGTGCACAGAAAGATGTATATGGGACTACGCGACATGTGCGCGATATCTATCGGGTCCAAATAGATATAATAATTTACCAAATATATCAATTAGTAGCGGTTTCTCTGCAAAATTTGTATTATCGCGTATTAGTTAAAACATATTCTTTCACATGATTGGTAATGAGAGCTTCCATTTCGTTGTTTGAGAGGGGGGCGTTTCCAAAACTGATCTTTACCTTCAAACGCCGATGATGATGATGATGATGACAAGGAACACATTGCAAATCTTGATATCATTTCACAGCCCAATTACTGTCCGTGTGTATATAAACCTGTCTGTAAACCTGTTTGTCTGTCTGTTTGTCACACACAGGACATTGACCGTGACTAATCTCAGCTTGAACTCTGACCCGACCCCAGAGCCTTCACCCATGCCTAACGCTTTGTAACTCCTCGATGTAACATACATCACAATAAAGAACCCACTTAAAATCTTGATATCATTTCACAGCCAAATTTATGTCTGTGTGTTTATAAACCTGTCTGTAAACCCGTCTGTATGTCTGTTTGTCACACACAGGACAATGACTGTGACCAATCTCAGTGTGAACCCTGACCCGACCCCAGAGGCCACACCCATGCCTAACGAAGAGTCAGGATCAGGTCATCTGATGGACTTTGGTAACCTGACCAATGCTGTAGCCAAGAGACATCTAGGTGTGGCCCTAGAGCAGGTGCAGGCAGCAGCTACACCAGAACGGAACCCAAGAGGGCGCCGAGAGGGCACCCCTGGAAGGTAAGTACGGTAGTTAAGAATTGAATTCAAAATTAGAGACGGGGAAAGTATAGGAGCCTAAAAGCCAACCGCATTGGATTTATACCGTCTTGATCAATTGAGCACACAAATAAGAAATTAGTACAGTAAAAATTGTAAAATGTCTTTTCTCCTAGCACTTTGATAACACCTTGAATTCAAGTAGTTCTAGACGTGCATCCTGAAAATCATATAAGGTTAAAGAGAAGGTTGAGTTCTGGGAAGAGGTGAAAAATAATTTGTGAGCATTACTCATTCTTATTATGCAAGCGTGAAGAACATCAGATAAGACATGTTCCCTGAAAAGCATGGCTCTTCAAATGCCTTCATATTCTAAATATGCATGTAACATCGTAGAAATCGGGGGGGGGGGGGGCCGGCTTTTTACGCCACGTGTTCGTGTAGTCCCATATACATCTTTCTGTGTACAGTGTTTGTAACTTTACCAAGACTTGGCCAAATTTCTTATCATTTTGATGATTCCAGAACCTTGCAATACACACAAATTCTTATATGCTAGATGATCAACCTTTTCTGGTCGGTTCCACACCGTTTCTTTCACAATGCAATCGCATGACCAGAACTCAACTTCATCTTTAAACCTCGTAGCTTTGCAGAAATGAAAATTAAAGCCAATTTTGAATACTTGCATTGAATCATCATTTTGAGGAAACATGAACAAATCAGTGAAGATTCATATGGTAGGTATATGCTGTAAATTGAAGGCCAGCCAACTGTAAACAAAATTGCAAAAACTTGCTGATAAATTCCATAACCTGTACAGCTGTTCAAGATAATAGTAAGAAAAAGGCATATCACATCTGCCACACACACTGGGGGGGGGGGGGGGATGTCATAATCCCCTCCCCCTCCCATTTCAAGATAGGGATAATTTGCCAATGCCGTGTCTATTTTTCTTGACAAGATCAAAGAAAATAAACTGTGATGATTCTATTCCTCAGCTCTCGATCATCTTCACCAAGCCGTCGCATGTGCAGTGGTTATACCAAGGCAGGGTTGAGATGTCGACTGACATGCGCTGGTAAAGAGGACTTCTGTTTCAGGCACATCGTATCCCACGGCAGTGCTCCTACTACTCCTATCAAGACATAGTGAAAGATTCATCTCATTCTAAGGTTTGTTTCAACGATAAATGAGTTTACTTGCTTATATTCTTCATCTTGAGTACTGGTAATGGAATCATATTAAGAGTCCTGGGAACTGGCTTGAAGTGTGTCAGACTTCTTTTGATTTGTTTTGTTTTATTTTTGTCTTTGTGACTGAAATTTTTTACAACGAACTAACATTATCTTGCTGGAAATCACATTCATTGACAGGCACAGCTCACAAAATTTAACCAAGGCCCAGTTTCATCAAACTTGTTATCAATAACAAATGCTAAATTTCTATGACAAATTTGCTCTCAGCCAACAGTAAATGCCACAGTTTCAGTAGCTTATAACAGTAATTGTAAATTGTTTGATGAAAGAGGGTGTATTAGTTGTAAGATTATTTACAAATCATGAAGAGTGTAGTGTAATGTGTATTGTGTATAGTATGTATTATTGTACTAGCCATTGTTAACTACATGGGCACTTATATGTTATATGTTTTATGCACATAAGAGCTATATTATCAAGGCAATGATTTTCCCTGCTAACTGAGAAGAAGTCGTAAATAGTGAATTGTATGCCTGCACTTTTCTACCAATCACTGAGGCCTAGAATCCTACAAGTTTTGTTGTTCCTTTTTTTGTGTGAAATATTACATCATGATTTATAGACCATTCAGTTAAAGGGATAGTTGAGTTCTGTTTTCAGACTGCAAATGCCTTCAAAGTGCATGGTTATTGCTCCTATTCTTATCTATGACATTTATAGCACCCTTTTAGAACCTAAATTGCTATGAAGGTAATGTTAGACCCCAAAATGTGTGAAATTTAGCTAATATGATCATACCAAATCAGCTCTACTTTAAAAAAAACACAGTGAGCGTTAATTAATAATTTAATTAAAAATAACAATACATGAGCTGGCTAATTGTGGGTAATATAAGCAACACGAAAATTCCACAAAGCTAACATTGGCATTGGCTGAAATATGACGTAAAAGGGGTTACTTCGTTTTTTTCAACGGTTTATTCAAATTTTCCAAAATATCTAATATTTGTGGTGGTACATTTTGATCAAACAAAGATGATTTTGTCATTTAAAAATTATGTTCTTTCAAATTCGACGCTCAGTTTTTCAAAAATTATTGTGTGTAGCGCCCTCTGCAACTGAACTCAACTATCCCTTTAACTTGTATATTAACTGTTATATTAATGTGTAAACTAAATATTTATAACTTCGTTATGGGCAAAGTGAGTCTTTAATCATTTTAGAAGTAAAAAATCAATCCCTCCAGCCTCCAGGAGTAGATTATTTCTTTCAAAAATGAAATTTGGAGAGAAATGAGAAATGTTTTGTCTTGCCCACCTAAACATATATCGAAGATGCATTCAAATTCAGTTATAATGCAACCTGTCCCATCAACTGTACAGTACTCATGGAACTAGGTGTATTTCCTGGTGAAATACAAATATTTATATGCTTAATAATAGACCATTATATATTTATGAATATCATTTTTTGCATGAATTATGTTATTTGATGACGTAACATTGTTGAACCAATTCAACTTTGAAAATGTGTGTGCAAATTTTAGCATGCATTAATCACTCCACACTCAAGATTTTGGGTGGGGCACATCAACCCCCTCCCCCTACTGTTCAAAGGGAAAGGCCCCACCTTTTTATGAGTTAAAGATAACGTTAAGTGGTATTCATGAGATTACATTGTGAAAAAAAATTTGTTGAGGCAATCGGTAAAGGTTGATTTTGTAGAACACAGTAATTTGATGAGCAATGTGATGTTTTGGTATTATCAAAATGAAGAGAAATCGACTCAATCTCCCTGAAGCTCACATGAATTGCATATATGGAAATGGGTATATGGGACACAAACACACAAACACGTGTCATGAAAGTTTGGTCCAATATTTTCAAATATTTCTCATAATTATTTTTGAAATGCATGCATGGCAATTGAGGAGCAATCCTTTTCAGGGGACATTTTTACTATGATATTCATATCTGAAGAAGGCTTAATAGTAAGTATAGAAAGTAGAGGTTTCACGGTCTAGGGGATAAGTCACCCGACTGTAGATTACAAGGTATGGGGTTTGAGTCCCGCCATGACACTAATGTCCTTTGGCAAGACATTGATATACGTTTGCCACTCTTCACCTAGGTTCTAAATGGGTACCCGGTAGGATGCGAAAGGAAATGTGGTTGGATGAGCAAGTGTGCGCTTGTAAACTGGCACCCGGCAGGAATGCTCCCCACGGAGTGGTGAATGTGCATACATTGTGTGCGGGTAAGCCTGAATTTGATGACCGGGTTAATAATATATCTGTAAAGTGCTTTGATGCATCATTGATGTTGATGTATTAAAGGTAATACAAAGTTTTGGTATGGGGTCATGAATTCGGTTCAAATGAACATATTGGGAGCATGCGATCCTACAACATTCAGTGATCGTTGTTGCGGTTGAAATCGAGTCTAAAGTTATGAAATTGTAAATAATACACACTTTATGTTGTATAGCTCCCTCTCAAGGTCAAACTATGAATTAAGCTATAAAACAATGCTTCTTGACTAAATCAACCAATTAGCTATTCCTGTTTGGAAATTATATATCACAACTACATATTCTGAGATTTTCATGGTCGTAGCTACCATTGTACGGCCATAGGCGCTATTTGAAATTTATCAAAATTTACCGGGAGCACCGGTAAATTTTTATAGTCGATTTTTCTCGAAAATTTGTTTCTCAGAATTGTTTTAGGGGCTAAATTTTCTAGTGCTTATAATACATCCACAGGGGCATCCAAATATATCAAAATTGTAAAGAATCAGTATCCACACAATTTCCCAAAATTCCCAAAATTTTGTTTTACCTTTAAGCGCCATATAAAAGCAGAATATTATTATTGTGATAGTGTACATTAAAGGTAAAGACCAGTATTGGAAACGCCCCAATTTCAAAAAATGAAATGGAAGCTCTCATTACCAATCATGTGAAAGGATATGTTTTGACTAATACATGATGATAAAAAATTTGCCGGGAAACCGCCTACTAATTCATATATTTGGTAAATATTTGTTTCTCTCATGGTCTGTGAGAGATATAGGGTAGTCCCATATACATCTTTCTGTGTATAGTGCTTGTAACTTTACGAAGAATGGGCCAAATTTCTTATCATTTTGATGATTCCAGAACCTTGCAGATGCTTGATGCTAGATGATCAACCTTTTCTGATCGATTCCACAACGTTTCTTTCACAATGCAATCGCATGACCATAACTGGCCTTTACCTTTAATAGGTTGTAAACTCCCAAGCAATCATACTGTGTAGCTTGACATGTTCACATGTGCATATATGCATTTGTATAGAAAGAGCAGAAAGCTAGTGCAAGTGTTGGTAATGTCGGAATGGTTTGAAAGGGGAAAATGCAATAGATAGACTTGTGAATATTATTACCAAAAAGATTTTTCTGTTCTGATTTCATTGTAGCTTTATTTACCATTCTATTGAATTGATTTGGATTTCTTTCCACATTTGCATTAAACATACAAAAACAGTAATATACAAAAGTAAAGTATAAAAAGAAGCAAATTCTATATATTTCTGCCATATTTGTGTAATTGCATTATAATGATAATAATGATTATAATAGTGTAAACTTGTAGAGCGCGCACACACCGTCCAGGGACGCTCATTGCGCTAGATTATGATGTAGCTGAAGTATAGTCTTTGTTGTATGTTTTGGTGCTTGTTAACATAAATTGAAGTGTTTTGTACATCAGAGCATAATATACATGTACATTCGTTATGTCCAAATTGCAATGTAATCATTTGTCAATTTTATAAAATTGTTGGAATAAATATATAATTAAGATACTGTATTACTGATTGATCTTAAAGGTGTATGAGTTTCTAAAAGGGAGGTGAGATGGCTCAGGGGTAGTGCTGTGGTCTTGTAATTGGGAGGTCCCAGGTTCAAAATGGTAGGTAAGTCATTAATCCTCATTTCCATGTCCTGTGGAGAGGACTTCAACCATAGGTCCCCTGGTTGCTTATGTAAGTGGTTTGATGGTATGTTTTTACCTGACTGCTTTAGCATTTGTATGCTTGTAAGTGGGCACTTGGGGGACCGAGGGCTTAGGTCATCCCTGAAGGACTTGGTAATGAGAATTAATACCTTCCCACAGGGCAGTATAGTACATCTACTTGGTTTTGAATCTGTGACCTCCCAGTTACGGGACCACTGCTATACCACTTGGTGATCGCACCTCCACCAATACTTTCAAGCATGCTTTCTTTGCTGTGAGGTAACAAATGAACTAAATAATTTCTAACATAAAAAAGAGGGGTATAGAGAGATACAGTTGCACACATGTTGGAAACGGTAAAGAAGAAGGATAGAATCAAAGAAAGGGAAAGAAAGAAAGAAATTTAGAGACAGAGATACAAAGAGAAATGGTGAGAAATGGTAAGAAAGAGGTATACAGAGAAATGTAGAGAGAGAGCGAGTAGGGGGGGGGGGGGTAAGGAAAAGAGAAATATAGGATAAAGACAGAAAGAAGATTAGATAAGAAGAGAGAGAGACAGACAGACAGACAGACATAATCAGGCAGAAAATGAAGAGAGAGAGAGAGGGGGCAGTAAGACAACGATTGGGACAGAAAAAAGGTTAGAGAGAGAGAGAGAGAGGGGGGAGACAGACAGACAGACATAATAAGACGGAAAAGGAAGCCAGAGAGAGAGAGAAGGGGGAGGGTACAAAACAAAGAACAAACAGAAAGAAAGGAACAAGGACAGATGAATAGAAATGGATTAGAAGTGGGCTGATTTATAGTCTCTGACAACTATTTTTGAAGTGAATACCATGCTTATCTTTCTGTGCAACACACTGATGAATACCACAACTCTTCTTAATGAAACGATCAAAGTAAAACGGAAAGAATACTGCAAAACTCAATGAAATAATTTATGTGATGAGTATTTTAATCGTTATTGCGTGCAATGAAATGAAAATAAAAACTCAAATTAACGCAATATCAAAATATAAAACAAAAAGACACATCATCAGTGGCATTAGAAGATCGAGAACCGGCCAAAAAGGGGTAAACGCTAATTCATCCCTTTAAATGCAGTTGGGTAAAAGTGTCTTCATATGTAATTTGAGTGGGTGTGTATGGGTGTACTGTATATAACATAATAGTTTTAGACAACATACATATGATATACAATGACAAATGTTTGGAAATCTAACTTTGTCATTTAATCGTATTAGATGAAGCCAAACGAAAACAAAATGGTCAAATTTATTCCAACAACAATTTAGCTTCAAGTGGTCAGTTTATATCATATTCTCACTGTGATTTTGTATAGATTCATCTATATGAATACATTTTGACACATGAAACTGATATAAACACTTGAATCAATTAGAAGTATATGATCAGGAAATAATTTATTGTTTTCCCCCTTCAATCGTAAGGTTCTCGGTGAACAAAAACATAAAATATTATTGTACATGGATGTGAATGTATAATTCCTCGAAATGCAAGGGTTTGAGAACCAACTTGCGAGCTGAAGAAGGAGTATTGGGGGGGGGGGGGCTACCCCTTGGTGTATTTAAAAAAATATCTTAATCTGACCAGAATGCGACTTCTGTTACCTACCTGGAACCCCGCCCCATTCTCATATCGACAGGAAAGCCAATCATAAATTGTACCAGACAACATGTGCAAAATGTATATACATGTTGCGCGATTATATCTTTTAATTTGGCAGCTGCCTACATTTTTTTATTGACATGATTATAACCAAAATTACTCTACATTTACAAAATCCTAATGAATTGTTCAAGACAATATTATTTACATCACAAACATTGGTACACACATGCAATATATTTGTAGAGGTGTCGTGGACGAGTGGATATGTCACCGGACTGTGGATCATAAGGTTCGCGGTTCCAGTCCCACCGCGGCACTAATGTCCTTTGGTAAGACATTGATCTATATTTGCCACTCTCCACCCAGGTGTTAAATGGGTACCCGGTAGGATGCGAAAGCTAATGTGGTTAGATTAGCAAGTGTGCGCTCGTAAAAAAAAAAAGACGCCTGGCTAGAATGCTCCCCAGGGAGTGGAGAATGTGCATACATTGTGTGCGGGTAAGCCTGAATCCTATGACCGGGGTAATAATATATATATCTGTAAAGCGCTTTGAGAGGGCCTTCGGTCTTGAAAAGCGCTATATAAGAACTAGCTATTATTATTATTAATATACTATCGGAATGTTTCTACAGATTTTGGTTGAGTTTATTTCTCACCAATAAAAAGAAAATCTATAAGGCGTAGATCACCGAGCATTTGTTTTACTATAACTGTAGATTGGACGTGTATTAATGCTTTGTGATATTCATACGGCATACCATTCCCTCAATGCTTTTGTTATTGATTTTAATGACACACTCTTACAAACATCCTAAACTTAAATTGCAAGAATTCACCCGTCGATCCCCATGTTCAACAGAAGTCGCGCAAAATTTGGTTATGCTAGTATTAAAAGAGTTTTTATTACATCTGAACCCATGGTAGGAAACATTGCGCTTTGCAAGCTACATTATGAATTGAATTATATCTAAAATGTAATGGAGGTACATTATATTAAGTAGATTAGCCTAAAGCTGCTACAATAACTATATAAAAATGCATAATTTACTTCCAGCAAATTATGTTACATGTACTACAAATTACACGATAAAAACATGGCTATTCATTTTAAATACAGGTGCGAGATTTCAGTTATTCAGTGGGTGGTAGTTATTTATACGTAAATAGTATGCTATTGGTGCTAACAACCATAAGTAATTATAAATATGAAATTATGAAATACACGTACTTATATATCATCAAACATGTCTAATGTGAAATACATTAAACTGTAAAACATTAAGTGCACAGACATGCCAAAATGTAAAATAAGTAAAAGTGTAATCAAAGGCTAAATTGAACAAAATACCTAATAATTTGGTCTAATGATATTTACAGCCGCAAGGGCCTTAGGCTAGTATGTACACGTACATTGGAAATGTGAACACCTAAACGTGTGAATGTGAGTAGTAGCGGTTATTTTACCTGACTGCTAAGAAAGCGTAGATGCTGGTAAGTAAGTAACCAGATGGCCGACGGCTTTAGGTCCTCGCATCGCATTGCCTTGGTATCGAACCCGGGTCACCGGATTACGAGACCACTGCTCTACCGACTGAGCTATCGCGCCTCTTAGTTTAGAAAATGGCTGCCATATTGACTCGACTTGTGATCTGATGTTATTTAGGCTTGCAGGCCTTATCATCCTGGATGCCATTTTTTTACGTGCTAGGTCTTATATAGGAAATGTTATATTATATTCATAAAACATGTATCAGAATCATGTTTGTAAATCCCATAATTGATGAGACCGAGGATTATTGGAGGCGTTGCATCCTTCCTCGAGAAATTTAAATAAAAACGGCTAAAATATTCGGGCGAACGTATAATATTGGGGCAGTGAGATTGTCTCTTTACCACGTATATCTTTATTTATTCATTCAGAAAAAAGAGAAGGAAAAAAATACATGCTGAGAAATATGTAGATGGACACAATATGCACAATCAGTATAGCTATCAAATATCAAGTAAAAGAAAGGCACAAATCTTTGATTGTTCGCTGATTCCACCCCCCCCCCCCCCCAAAAAAAAAAAAGAGAGAAAAATGGAAATTGATTTTTGGTGAAGAGATGACAGCTCACTAGCACTAATGTACATGTATAACCATGCATGCCAACTGTAATGTTCGTAAATGTTTTACATAACGATATACATGTTTCCCAACAGGATATACAATAAAAAATGATAATGCGTAATCGAACGCTGCTGATATATTCGTTGTCAATTCTTTCTTTTGTTGTAGTTTTAATGTACGCTTGAGAAAGAAGTAGTCAGGTACAAAATTGCGTGTCGTAATTTTGTTCATGATCAAGCAAATAATTCAACAAGTTGCACTAATTTTCACTATGTGAAACATTACATTTTGTACAAATATCGTATATGTATTTACAATCACTACCAAAAAAACCCCCATATTTTTGTATCATAAAAGTTGAAATGATTATGATATTTAAAGGAGACTATTAAAGTATGATAACACATTTACTTTCCAGTATAAGTTAGAAACGATGTATATTGGGTCTAGTTTGAATGGCTTATTGCACGTAATTATGGGCCTGCTTACATATCCAGATTATTTCCATTAAGCAACGTCAGAAGTATATGAAAGGTAGCCCCAAGCGTCCAAATAAGTATACATGTATAAGGCACCGTTCTACCAAGGGGATACGAAGTATATGGAACATAATTATACAAGACAGTCCCATTTCATGGAACTTATAAGTTACTGCCGGCCCACAACTGAAATGTGTCATTTTTTACCAGTCATTTACAAAAATTGCTCAGTAGGTTGTAAAAAAGTAAAAGAGAAAAGAAATAAAGATAGCGATTTGTGTATTTTGTTTTAGATTTAAATCACCAGGGGTTGGTTGGGGTTCTAATCAATGAAATCGTTATTCCAGTAACCTTTGCCCTTTAACACGTTGTCCAATGATTGTAACATCCAATCTGATGTAATTGTTATAATCAAGGTGCACATATCTATACAAATATATATATTCCTACAAATTATTTTATTACAACTACAATATACATCAAGCTTATATCATCAGTATAACTTTATGACAGTTCGATTAATGCGCTTTGAAAAAAGGTTTTGAAGTGACAAGTTTATAAACATTTGCAGAATCGTGCTATTAAATATACAACCAAAAGTGACATAGAGTTTAAGAAAATGTGAATGGTTCTAATATCCCCATTTTATTTTTGAATGCTCTAGTTGTGTATGTGTCTTATAGACTCATAGTTAACTCTTTTTTTTTTTAGTCAGTCAGCAGAATGTGTATCGTTAGAAATGTTAAAGATAAAGTTGAGTTCTGGTCATGCGATTGCATTATGAAAGAAACGGTGTGGAATCGATCAGAAAAGGTTGATCATGTAGCATATAATAATAATGGTGTGTAAGGTTCTGGAATCATCAAAATGATAAGAAATCTGATCCAGTCTTGGTAAAGTTACAAGCACTGTACACAGAAATATGTATATGAGACTACACGAACAAGTGGCAAAAAAATTCTTCCCGATTTTTATGCTGTTACATGCCATATTTAGAATAGTAAGGCATTTGAATAGCCATGCCTTTCAGGGAACTTTTTTTAATCTGATGTTCATACACACTTGCATAAAAACAATAGTAACGCTCACAAATTATTTGTTCACCTCTTCCCAGAACTCAACCTTCTCTATAAAGCAAGATGTGAGAGTACACAACCTGTAGAGGTTTGGCTTCTGGGTCTTCTGTAGCTTACCAAAGATGTGTTTAATAATCAACACGAAATTACAAACACCACGGTGGTTTTTATGAGAAGCATTGTTTATCCTGGTGGATGAGATGGATTATGAAATATTAATGTAATATTAATTCATCTGTAAGGTCACCTCTCATTAAAATGAATAATGTTATTCTGGAGTTTGTCAAAGTTCCTTTAAAATGTACAGCTCCTCGTGTGGTTTTCACCTAACATTCTGTAAACCATAAAAGGCACTTCGTTGTATCGTTGAAAAGTTCGTTATAACGACAGATATTTGCCCCTTTATTTACACAGAAATGTTGCTTTTATCATAATTTAGATTTGGCATTGAAGAATGCGCATTTACAAGCTAGAGGTAATACAGTAAAAATTTCTACAAAACTATTTACAAAATATTATCATAGACTATCAATTACTACCAAATTTACATATATTCAAACCAGTGCTTGAAAATTTATTCGCCTTATAAATAACAGACCCTTAAAGGTCGATCCGAAAAAAATGGTGGCACATGAATATGAGATGTTGCATTGAATCATGCTTCACACAAAAAATAAACTACAAACTCTCTCGATCTCTAATATTTTTACAAAACAGATGAGAATTGTTGCCACACCCGTCGTTTTTAATCGGCGATTTTCGGAACCATCATCAGCCGATTTAACAGACCACCACACCCAGGACCACACCCTTCTTCACATCAAATCCCGCGCAAAACACACAACACCCTAATCCATTCGCTTGTTGATACATCCTCGCCACAGACGAGCCCTTGTGTTATTGTGACGTCACGTCCGCGTCAAGACCTTGCGGACACTGATGGGTGGGGCAGCTATGGTGTTGACGACTGTGGCTGGAGGAGGAGGGAGTTGCTGGTTGAGTTGTTGTTGCGTGGTAGTGGTAGTAGTACCTGTGGTGGTATACTGCACGACCTTGGTTGGCTGACCTTGAGCCCTCGGTCGACTGTCACACTCCCCGTCCCTACAGGCCTGGCAAAGTGTGGCGTTGTGCTGGGTTCTTGGTTTGCCTGCTCTACGGTCATATCGGATGGGGGGCTTCACAAAACCATAATAAGTCTGAAGGGGGAAAGAAAAAAAAAGAGAGAGACGAAATTAAAAAGATGACAAGTGGAAAATACCAGGAGCCATTTTAGAGGGGGTGTCAGGGCTGAAGCCCCAATTTGTTCTTGATTATTCATTGATTAAATCGAGGTACCTCTAGAAAATTAATGTAAGACCCCTCAAGCCTATCAAAAACGCCCCACCCAACCCCATCAAAAAAAATCTTCCAGAGGCGAAATTAGAAAGATGACAAGTGGAAAATACCACTAGCCATTCAAGAGAGGCATATCGGGGCTGAAGCCTCCACTTTTTTCTTGATTATTCATTGGTTAAAGCGAGGTACTTCTAGAAAATGAATGTAAGACCCCTCAAGCCTATCCAAAACGCCCCCATCCCCACCCCTAGAAAATACTTCCAGAAGCGCCCCTGTATGGAAAACACATATTTTAAAATTATAACAGACATGTTTAGGGAAAAAATGTTTACAAAAAGAACATCTTTATACTCTTCTTTCTCTACCGACAGGTTAGGGCTTTAATTTTTTTATTTTTTTTAGATTGGACTACTATGTTTTTAACTGACAATGTGTGCCTTTTGTAGTCAGGGGCGTAGACAACGGGGGGGGGGGGATGAGGGGGATGCATACCCCCCACCTCACAAGGTGGGGGGGATGGCATGTACAATCATCCCCCCCAGGTTTTGGGGAATGATATTTGCTTACTTAATAAGTCATAATGATGATAATAATAGTAATAATAATAATGATAACAATTATAATATTAATAATAATAATAATTATGATGATGATAATAATAATCCTCATCATTATTGTAATTGTGTTTATTGTTATTAGCCGCATTCACACGGTGAAAGCCAATTCAGACGGAAATTAAAAGAAAGACTTACAAGTATTTTGTGGTTATCTTGTGGTTTGGAAACCACAAGATAACCACAAGATTAAACAGGCGCGGATCTACGGGGGGGGGGGGGTTTAGGGGGTTTAACCCCCCCCCCCCCCTTGGGCGGCCCAAAAAACAAACAAAACAAAAAAAAGGAAAAAAAAAAAAAGAAAAAAAAAAAGAAAGAAAAAAGAACGCACGCTGGAGAGAAACCCTTTCAAGTGCAAATATTGTGAGAAGATATTCAACTCATCTGGTAACTTAACCAAACACATGATAACTCTGGATATAACTGTGTATTTAACTGTTACTTGATTTAAAAAGACGTTAACATGCACTGCTTTTTATGGTCTCCATTGTGTTAATAGATGCCAGGAAAACATCACTTACGGGGTTCAAATAAACACCCCAAAAAAAATCGGCTCGCCGCTTTGCGGCTCGTGGACGATGCTCCGCATCGTCATTATTTTGGTCAACCCCCCCCCCCCTTAGCAAAAAGCTAGATCCGCCCCTGAGTCATCCCCCCAGGTGTACGAACCTGTCTACGCCACTGTTTGTAGTGGATATAATTCGAAGGGGGAGACAGAAATTACTGGTATAATATTACCTTGGAAATATACCTTGGAAGTTTGCATTTAAAGTTAAAAACTTATTTGCCTCTCGTTGATATTCGGATGAAGAATCCATATTTTGACACATTACTGGGGCTATACTGCAATATTGACGAACATGGACAAGCGAAGGACTCCTCTTGGGTCAAATTGATCTTTTCTTGATGACCGAAATTTCAACAAATTGGATTTAAAGCTGTTTAGTGACGTGCTCTCCACAACTACAGAGGAGAGGTTGTTCCATTCATTGATACATCTCGGTGAAAATGACTGGTATACAATTTGTTGAAACACTAACCTGTCCGATTCTGTTGTAGAGGTTGCAGAGGACCTTATTAACTTCTTCTGGGTACCACATGGCCGGCTCGAACATTCCGTTGTTGCATCGCTGGCATTGTTGACCATAGAGTTTAAACTGGACATGCCCCTCACAGTAAGGCACGTGGAAGAAATACCAGAAGACCACTCGTCCTTTCATCGATGTCCAACCATGGCCACAGGTCTATAGAAATGTATAAAAATCATTGTCACAAACAGGAAAGTTGCTAGTGGGAAGTTAGCAAGGTAATTCAATATGTTTCATAGTGATTTGGTATTAAATTGGTGATGTTTTACCTCTATAGTATCTGATCATAGCAAGTATTTTACATACATTATGATTTTGCTATGCAATGTATTTTAACATAGCATAATGTTCCAACTTATTGATAACCATTGTAAGACGCACTTGCTATCTCATACGATAAGTGCGGAAAAGACCCTTTCTGCACGGAGAGGACGGAGGAGAGGGGAGGAGGTGCCGGGAAATGAGAGGGAAGAAGCAACGAGGGAGTGGAGAGGCAGGGGGTAGAAGTGGTAGGAAGAAAGGGAAGGAGGAGGCAGAGATGGAGAAAATAGAGAGGGGTGAAGAGAAAAGTTGATAAGAAGGAAAGAGTGGGAGGAGGAGAGCAGGGTGGGAGGCAGGAGAGGTAGGAAGAAATGGGGCGAGAGGAGGAGAGAAGGGAGCCAGAATAAAATGAGAGAGAGAGATGAAGAGGGCCATGAAGGAGGAGGAGATGGATAGATATGGATAGAGATGGAGAGGCAGGAGGAAAGAGAAGGGAAGAGAGACAGAGATTCATTGGAGAGGAGATGGATGAGGGCGGGGAAATATATAGGGAGAGAGACGAAAAGGGAGCAGAGAGAGGAAAGGGAGCAGGAGAGTGAGGTGGAGAAGCAGTAGAAAAGAGAGGAGGGGGCATAGGAGGGGAGGAGGAAAGGGGAGGAGGATTGGTAATAGCAGCTTACCTGGCAGCAGAATCTGACCTTGGCACTATCTTTGAATCGACGCCATCTTGTGCTAGGGCAGATCTCTGTGGGTGTGAGATTCCAAATGTTAGGCAGGTAAGGAGCGAACACCTTGGCAAACTCACCGAACCAGATCTCATCCATCCTAACAAAAATGAAAAGGAAAACAATCACAGATATAAGAGGCAGATAATGCAAATAGCAGGAGAGAGAGAGAGAGAGAGGGGGGGGGGAGAGAGAGGGAGGGAGAAAAAGAGGGGTAGGAGCGAGGGGAGCGAGGGAGAAGCCCCCATCGCAGATTAAAGCCATATATCAATTTTGATTGTACAGCGAAAATAATTGCAAGTCAGTTTTTCATACAAATTTAAATTTTGTACAACAACAACTCCTTCCATCCACTAAAGTGGGGGGGGGGGGGGTGATCGCTGCCCCTTGTGAAAGATTCCCTGTGGAGAATTACACCTAGATGACAGACATCTGATTCATTTTTTCTTCCTTTGGATGGTGCCAGAAAATTGTTGGTACTCAAGTTTAGCAAAGACGGAGAATAGAAGAAGACAGAGGATAAAAAAAGAAAAATTCCCTTCATATTTGCTCCTTTCTTTCGAGTGGTCTTGCATTAAATTCATTTTTTTTAAACATCGCTAAGTTTTGAACTGGAGTACATAAATCTGCATAAGGATATTAAAACTGACGAATTCAAATAGGACGGGAGTTCCTAGAAAAAAACAAAAGCTTCATGCCCTGTGATTTCTATTCATTTCTACACCCCAAATCGTTCGACCCTGAAAATAGATAATTATCATATCCACATGTATATTTATTTTATTGTTTGATGACTTTTAACTAAATGCGCGTGTTCAAGGAGTGTGACCAGTTTCTTTGTCAATCCGAAACTATGGCGTCGAACTATAAACAGTTATAAGATTTTAAGATTGCAATGACGTCATGAGAACAAATTATAGAATGAAAAAAGTGTTCCTTTTTGTTTTCTCTCAAATGAATATCACTTTGGTCCCTAATTTTTCTTTTCAAATAAATGAGACATAACTTATTTTATTTTTTATTTTATTGCATCATTCTTTCGTGTTCAGACGTATAACTATTTTTCAGAACGAATGCATTCTGTATGATATGAGGAACTTCCAATGTATCTGAAAAATCAATCAGATATACGATAAAAAGAACATCCTATTTTTCCAATCGCAACGGTAAAATTTGAAAATTCAATCTTCGCCCATCGCAACAGCGATTATTCACCGTTACACGTGTTATCAGCACGCGGGATCCTTTTAGCGGTTCAGTTTAATATGTTAATATTAAATTTAAAAGGTTGTTTCAATGATTCGCTCGAAGATTAAAGATAAATTTACAATAACAGAGAGGTTTGCCTCATCAGTTGAATAACAAAGTTATACCCTCAGAATTTAATGAATTATTTGGTTCCTAGAAACTCCTATAGAAATTGATGTTGCAGATCATATCATACTGGCTTATATATCACCGTTGTTTTAGGGGTGGAAATATGGTTGAAACGGCGTACGCCCCCTCCAATATTAATCGTGTGTTTTAGACCGAAGGGCCTAGCCATGTTAAATGTCTTACATTACATTAAAGCGACACTAAACCAGTTCGTCAATTTGAATCTCCCATAATTTTGATTTTAAGTTTAAAAATCGATATATAACTTTCCTAGTGGTTACCCAACTTTTTACATAATTTCACAGATCGTTTTCTCTAAATTTCCTGCTCTCCTTAAAAGCGACTAACTTGCCAGCAAATTTGAACGCGGAACGGTGTTGACGTCAGCGATTTGAAATGGGAAAACACCGCGTTGCTTTCCTTTGACAATATTTGTTCTTGCATTGTCACTAATCAGTTACAGAAGGTAATGATGTGGAGACATGTTATTTTAATAAAAACATTTTTTTAAAGGAAATGCTACTTGTAATTCGATGCACGCTTGCAGAACGATTTCAATATCATGAAGTAAAATGCTGGGGATATTAAAAATGGAGTTTTCAGGCGGGACTAAAGTCAAACCGTAAAATTGGCAAGCCTTCCTCCTGAGTCAACTATTGACATTCCGTCACCCGTTGAAGAAGTGATATCTTATTTTCAGAATACAGCCAGTTGTTATTATGTTCTTTTTTGTTTTTATAAGGCTAAACAGATTTCTTGTTTTACCTCGGCAATGGATACAATAATTACAATGTAAATTGCCATTACTGTCCAGGGCATTTTAGCGTTTACATTTAGAAAGTTGGGTTTCTTTGAAAATTTATTTAATCAATAGCAAACTTGATGACTAGCCAGTCGAAATAATTAATGCCTTATTTATTCAAGGACCATTTCCTCATCATCTATTGAGCCAAAATCGGGCTTATGAAACAAAAATAAAATATGGTACAGTCAAACCTGTTTATAGCAACCACACAAGGGAAACACAAAAAAGTGGTCTTTGTAGAAAGGTGGTCTTTGTAGACAAGTTCCTTTTCAATGAGAGACCATTATCAAGGGAAACAAAAAAAGTGGCCTTTGTAGACAGGTGGTCATTAACGCAGGTTTGACTGTAATATGAAGTATGGTTACGAAGCAGGCTTTTCTTGACAGCTTTTAAAGAGACTGACGGTGAATTTGGTTTTAACATCACACTTTCCTATCCGGAAACAGTCGCCAAGTTCACACACACAGGTGTGGCGGCCATATCGCAAGGTATTGAAATATGGCATGAAGCGCGAGTTTGTTGAGATTCCGGCGATTTGTTTCAGGTTGGTTTTATGGTATGGAAGGTTCAGGCAGCGTAGCGGGTTAACGTAACGAGTAAATTGGCTGCGAATTAGCAGCGGAGGTAAGACCCCGGCGTTACTCGTCTAGGGGTGCACTGCGTGACCCGTCTGACTCACCACATCACAAGGTGGGATGAATGACTTTATATACTCGAAAGATAACGGCTGCTGCTTATGGTCGTTCTACTTTCAAACGAGTTTAAATAAAGGACAACAAGATTTTGTGTTCATTATAAGAATAAAATATGTTTGACTCTCTTGGTTACAAGATGGTTCTCTCATTTTTTTTTAAATAAAAATAAAAATTTAATTGGATGCCACTTATTAATAATTGTCTATACAAACCAAATCAATTTTAAATATATCTTTCACATCGTCAAAATTTTGAACATCTTTTTTTCATAACACCGAATACAGGAATAGCCTACAGCTTTTGTGTCAGTGATGAATATTTTAGTGCGCGCTGAAAAGATTTAATCCATTTTTCTGTGAACTTATATAGCTTCTGGGGAAAATTAATGGATATGTTGGATTATTCACAAAGTAGTTTTTCAAGTACATGACATTTTCCTGAGTAGTCACCAAGAAAAGAAAAGAATAATTGTACAGGTGCTATATTTTCGAAGAAAAAAAATCTGATATAGCTTTAAGAATATCTGTCAATGATGGTTTTTACATTTCGTAATTTATTCAATATTTTGTAAATGGATTTATGTCATGGAGTCAATTAATATGTATACATTTTGTCATCTATATAAATTTAGGCTTAACATTAAGTCATAGTTTCGCCTGACCGATAACGATGACTATATTATAAACGATTATTTATGGTTAAAGGTAAACACTCTTCTATATCTATGTTTAACACGATAGCAAAGGCTTTCAAGGAATCATCTCCAAGACCATTTCAATACTCTGTTGTATTGCTTATTAAAGATGTCTAGTTCGGATTACGTATGATCTGCCATATATATTCATACTCTCACGTTGTAATAGATGATATACAAGGCAATTGAAACATTTTCTTGAAAGTAGGCATTTTTTATAATTTTAAGATTCTTGTTTTATTTCTTCCATTTTCAAGATAATGGTAACCGATGACAAGATAAAGTAATACGACCAACAACAACAAAAATGTAAAAACGAAAATGTTAAATCACCATTTAAAAAAGGGCCGAGAAGTAAACATTTTTTTCTTTCAAAATTTCAGATTGATACTTTTAACCTGCTAGATTCAACCTTTATAGTGTTGGATCTAGCATGTTTAAGGTGTTAAGCTACCATTTTGAAAAAGTGGTCACTCCTCGGCCCATTTAAATAGGGATTTAACATATCAGTTTTTAGTGTATATATGTGAATTTCAGTGGAAGTTTATCCATAAATAATTGAAAAGAAAGGGGCAAAGCTCCTCCCTGCCCACCCGCTCCACCCCCTCTTCTTTTCTGTGCATGTACTCAATATAGATAGGGGAATGAAAACAGGTATTAGCAATGATTTCTAAATTACCAAAATGCTTACTCCTCCAATTTACCACTACCGTTATAGTTATTTTTATCGGTCGGTTGGAATTGGGTCTTGAACAATGTGAATCAGACTAACTCCTAGCAATAGGGCATATGAAACAACAAACTAATATTATCATAACTGCGGTTTACACACTTCAGTAACTGATGCCAAGTGAGGGGAATGTGAGTTTTTAGCCAAATTTGACAGTGCATGAACTACAGTTTAATTGGCTGATATCGTCTCAAAGTACGTCGGGCGCAAGGGAAATCTACCGAAGAGAAAAAGGAAAAGGAAGAAAGATAAAGTCAAGGAAGGAAAATAAAGGAAGGAAAGGTCATAATGGAGCACCGCTTCAAAGAGGAAATCAGAAGAAAGGAAGAGGAAGAAAGAGGGGGTGATGCGGGTGATCGAAAAAATGTACAACAACAAAGACAACTCTCGACAATGATGTCGAAGATGGTAAAGTAACGAAACAATTTGTATCATTGTATATGTGAAGCCCTGTATGCAACTAAAATGTAGTAGCAGTAGTATGCCTAGACGTGTAGTGGTAGCAGCATCAGCAGTAGCAGTAGATAGAAGTAGTAGTAGAGATAGTAGTAGCAGTAGTAGTCGTAGTGCATGTAGTAGTAGTAGTAGTAGTAGTAGTAGTAGTAGTAGTAGTATTAAAGTAGTAGTAGTAGTAGTAGTAGTAGTAGTAGTTATGGTAGTAGTTCTTCAAATGCTATATCTTAAACAGATTGTTATTAATGCAATAATATTTTCTGCATTGATAAAAGCAAGGCCAAGAAATATGTGTGTAAAGGTTATTAATTCATTTCGCAATACCATTGTGCATTCACATCTGTCA